ACTTTCTGCAGTTTTTTCCCCCCGCTATTTTCCATGCAAATGTTTTAATGAATGCATTTGCAAATAATAATTCTTTAGAATAATCTGAAAGTTACACAGAAAAGTGATGCAGTGAATAACTTTAGCGTGTGTGCAGGAAAATATATTTGTGCAAATCAATGTGTTTTCAATAGGCCAGTTTCAGGGAAAAGTGCAGTTTAGATGTTTGGGTGTTCATAGACCATTAGGAGTTTTTTTCTGGACTGAATCTATTATGGTGAGTTTGCCAACAAAACAAAACTGTATAAATCTGTTTCGACATTGGAATGGTTCCCAGAAAGAAGGAAAGGAAAACAAGAGAAGTTGGGGAGTAGTAAAGAGAGATTAAACTTTACGTTTGGAGTGACTCCATATGATTTTGTGATTAGTGTCCAGAATGTTAAATATTTTGTATGTAAAATTAATCCAATTAAGCTTTTCAGTTGTCAAAATCTGTCTCAGTTTTTTTGTTGAGGTAAATATAATTCATACGGTTCTTATTTTCATTGGAGTTGGTCCAACACTTGCTTAATAGTGCTGTGGCTCTGATTTGGCATTTTGTGTGTTTAGTGTGTTTTTGCTCTCTCCAGGTCAGCTATTGCAATGACAGTGAGCTCGGATGAACACAAGACTGAAAAATGAAGCCGTTGCCAAACAGACTCCGAAGGCATTGCATAACGGATTATTTTATATCGTCCTAATTCCATTTGTTTTGATCCCAAATATCTTCCAGACATGAAATTTAGCATTGCCTAAGTTATGTTATGTGTAGACACAAATCTGGTTGATATTTTGTTTGGGTTGTTAACAAAAAGTGTTCCTCTAAGAAATAATCAGAATCCTGGTCTGAACTGGAAAACAAAAGAAAAAGTGACCAATGTTCAAGAAAAATACTTTGAAAGAACTCAAGAAAGCCCTCTATAAGACCACTTAAAAGACTACAAATAAATATGGCTCCTTGGAGACAGTGTTAGGACATAATGAGATGGTTCATGACTCTTGCACCATCCTGCAGCTGTAATCTAGTCACAATGTCTTGGGACATTTTGGGGGCTTCATGTAATGCTGTGACTAATCCCAGACACCTCACACAGTTAATTAAGGCATTAATATTATTCAGTAATACTCTTATTTTATATATATATATATATGTGTGTGTGTGTGTGTGTGTGTTTTAGCACAAGAAAAAATAACAGAATTTGCATGTCATGCCACAAAGCGGTACATTAGAAAAGCGATTTGTGCCTCAGTGTTGCAGTTTGTTTCAAAGAGGTCTGTGCAGTTTCCTGAGATAATCGTGTCTTTCCGGTAAATAGCTGTCTGGAATGGATTACAGAGTAGCTGCTGGTAAGCAGGTCAGTATGGCTCCTTGTAAGGACGTTGCCATGACACCTGACGAGAATATACGTGTGCTTAAAGCCTCATTTTGTGTCACCTGCTGTCCTACATTTGAAATAGGCTACGTTACTTTCTGTCTTAAAATAGTTTTATCCTGTAGGAATTACTCTGGAGGTTGGCAGCGTATCCTACTGATGCAATAGTCATGTAGTGCTGGAGTAAAAACAATCAGTATAAATCGTCTAGATTTTTTATGAGCTACTTCAGCGCTACAGCACTTTTGTGCATTTCAACTCTTTATTTATCCTAATGTTTCCCTAATACCCTCTTGCTGCGTTTGCTTCCCCTTTTTCTGCACTCGACTCCCGTCTCTAAAAATTTCATTCAGAGATATGACTGGTCGCTATGGAAACTGCCTTCACCCACTCCCTGCTGATGGAGGGTGCGGCTGCTGCAGCAATCTCTCAGTTAGACAGTGTTGCCAGGCAACAAGTCACATGGCGTTCCCTAGCAACAACACCACTGCAGAAACCTGACAATCCTCTTAACCTTTCTCTCCCTCCATCCCCCCCGCACCTCAGTATTTTTATTTTCTCTGCCTTTTTGGCTCTTTGTCTCTAAAAATGCTTCTAACATTACTGGATTACTCTATATTTTTATATGGTAACAGAAAGCTTGCCTCTCCTCCCCTCTGGCATCTGACAAATGTCTTCCTCATCTGTGTCATGGTTCACTTGCATAAACGTGGTTTTTAGGACGATGCATTTAGATGTACCATGACATGTTGGACATGTTCAGATGGATAACAGTAAAGAGCAATGTCCACAAAGGTTAAAGCATTACTTGGTTTAAAAAAGCTAAATAAAAGGGTGGGAAACAGCTGGTGTATTTAAAAAAAAAACCCACTTCACTCAGGAGAAAAGAAGACCTGCAAAAAGACTTGTTTACTGACAACAAGAATGAAACGTTCTGTCACTGACTGAGACCCTTCACCTTGAAGTCGCTTTTGAATCCCTTCAGCCTGACAGAAAATCAACAACGGGAAGTTCGTCAGAAAAACTTAACCTTTCCAACACCGTTTCCCATTCACAAAAGTTTTCCAGTCATTTCTGTCACTTTTAACACATCGTAGTACTCCGAAATGTTCTTAGTCATTAGCTCCGAGGCTCTGAGGCAGCCGCTCTGAAAATGATGCAGCACAGGTCAACTTTTAGGGCTAGCTTTTTGTGTTCGTCTATTTTACGCTCGTGTTGTGTTACATATTTTAAACGATGCCACCCACTCATGACAACTCATTTCTTATTGAAAGCAGCAGCATTCGTCGTCTGTGGCTCCTCATGCTGCTGGAGGCTTTAAAGGGAGGACACAGTTGTTTATCTGCAAAAATGCATAAGGGCCCCGGGCTTCTAGCATCTCAGCTCTGCATCAACGTCACACTGGAATTTAAGATGATGCAGACGTTTAAATCTGTGCTTAAGAAATCTAAACCAAAGATCTTTACATTGACTGCATTAGGCTTAATTTGCAGCTGGATTAGACCTTGAAGGAGGTGTGAACATCTGTGAAACGAGCACTACAACACTGTCCCAGCAGTATTGCCCCAGATAAAGGTTATTAAAGAAACAGATTAACATTTTGGGAAATTCATTCGTCCATTTACATGTTAAGACTACTATACTGTAGATTTTTTTGTAACAAGGCACATGCTTTTTGTTTTAATTATTGAACAAAAAGAGATAAAATATATATATACATATCCAATTTCTGAAGGTCAAGTTGTTTGTCTCAATCATTCCTTTGCTTCCCAATGGCCAACTAACCGCCTTGCGGATGCTGCATCTCAGCAAGTCAAGATAAAAAAAATTATGTTCATGTTCTTAACTAAGACTCCACAAAAAAGAAGGAAACATTTTTCCTTAAATGTCAAAACTTCTTTTACGCTTGAATGATCTGTCACATATGAATGTGACAGTATGAAGTAATGTCAAACGTTTAAAAAAACATGGGTTATAAAAGATTATGCCAACATAAATTACATTTAAAACGCTGGGAACTAAAATTGCCTACATATAAATGAAAGTGACATATTTCAGGCTGTAAAGTAAATGATTGTATCCATACAAATCTTGCAGTATCCTTAAATATTTTGATATATTATCATAGATGCAGGCAAAACACAGATTTTAGTTGTGGCATTGCTAAAAAGGGGCATAACTAAAAAAAATAATAATAATAACTCAACGACAACCTGTGTCTGTTAACACTGTTTAGTGTAAGGATTTCAGAACAGTTGGCTGCTAACGCGATTTTGAAAGTAATTCCAAACTCCCATCTGCATTTTCTTCAAAACTAAGGCTTGTGATTTTGTTTATGATCTACTCACTGTTTATTTGTCATTTGGTGGCAAAAAAATAAAGCAAACAATTACTGCAGAGTGTGCTTTAGTTCTGCCTTTGTTGCTAAAAACAGTGCAATTTCCTTTCCTCATCCTTCCTCTTCTTGTTTCAGGTATCACTCCATCAAAATAATAAAACCATTAGAAACTTACTGAAGCTTTCAGGGAGAAACATCCTGTCAAACTTGTTTTTATCAAATCTAGCAGCGGAGTGAACTGAGGTGACAAGATTGACCTAATGTTGCAATGCAATGACTTTTCAAGGATTTCTTTTTGTTGTTGTTGTTGTTGTTTTGCCACTTTGTTTTTCAAAACTTTGCTGCTTTATTCTTAATTTTTATTCCTCCACAATTTCATTGTACTTTTCCATTCAAATAAAACATTTAATACATCATTTTAAAGGAAATATTAAACTAAAACCCTTATTGTTTCTGTTTGTTTACCTAAATTGGTTGTATCACTCTAAAATATATAGGGGGAGTGGTGGTGCAGAGGTTAAAGAAGGTGGGTCTGTGATCGGAAGGTCGCCGGTTCAACTCCTGGTACTGACGACATCAAAATGTGGGTGGGTATAATGAAGCACCCACACCAATCTCCACTTCCATTTGCCCCACCCTGGGCCCTTGAGCAAGTCCCTTAACCCCCACCATCTGCTCCCCTAAGTGTCCTAGATAGCAGCTCTCTGCTCCACACAGAAGGCTGTGGTAGCTCAGTGGTCTGTGGTTGCAACAGGAAGGACATCTGGTGTAAAAATAATTGCCAAATCTTCATGCGAGTTAGTTTGCTGTGGCAACCCCTGAAGAAGGGAGCAGCCAAATGGTCCAAAAAAGTTAAAAACAAAATTGATCCTCTATTGTGAAGTGTGAGAGGTCAATCTGCATGTGTCACTCTCCATTATGCAAGCTTACAGAACAACACAGCTTTATAACGTGAATCCCGCACTCCTTGTTTTATTGAATTGAGAAAGTTCCTCAGATGAGAAGCGAAAGGTCTTCAGTTACAAATAAAGTCCAGTTGTTTTGTTTTAAACTTTTTTTGTGGATTTACCATGTCCTGGATGACTGATAATCTTCACCAGCATATAACCATCTAATGTAGAATATAAAACATCCTGCTTTAAAAAAGGTGAACATTAAACTTAGTTTGTGTTCCTCAGCAGTTTCCTGGTAAGATTACAGCCAATGAGCTGTCCGACACATAATTATATTGATTAATGCCACACCCTGACTGTTGCAGAACTTGCACTCACCTGCAGCACTTGATACAGTGGGCCAGTTCTGGACCAGCATCCCCTGGGCTCCCTGCACCACTGAGGACTCTTCCATGTGGACCGCACTGGAAGGCAAATCACACAAATATCAAACGCAAAATATAGGTTTGACAAAATACATTTTTCTTGACGGTTCTTTTTAATTATTTCAAGCAAAATCATAATCCATTGTACTTTCTTTGAGCACGAAATACAACAAGCTGTCACTTTTTAAACAAAAACAGCCGAATGGAGAACGACTATAAATAACTTAAACAGACACCTCTTTTGAATTGCTGCTGTGCTTTTTCTTCACTTTCTAAAAATAAAAATGTTTAAGCAGCAATGCTCTGTTTGATCCAGTAAACCAACACTGTTAACTCTATTTTCTTTGCTTTAATAATTAATTGATGCCTGCTTGCTATTTTTATTGGATACTTAAATTCCATGCGCTAGGTTTTAATAATTAATCGTATTAATAATGACAATAACAATTAAAAAAAACTGTTCCAACAACAAACATGTATAAACAGTGAACAAATAGTTTTACACACTGATGAGCAACACATTGTGTATTTCCCCCAGTTTTTAATTTTCTGACTACTTTGTAAAAAGTTAAGCAAGTTTAATTACTCAGTGTTATTAAGAACAACTACACTTTCTCAAGGCTGTTTAAAAAAAATTATATTGAATGATTACTTGTTTGCCAACATCAGGAGGTTATCATTCTCAGACAACATCACTGTAAAACTTCAGACAATGAGCATAAACTTTAAAATAGTTCCATTTATAAATTATGTTGCTACAGGAGCAAAAAGATTTTTAGTTTAGTAAAGTGATTGTTAAGCTATTTTTAATGTAAAACTGCATGTGTTCTTAATATATGGGCTTAGACTTCTATGAGTATGTTTTGGACTGGCTGTAATTAAATACTGCAAGAAGGCAAAGAAGAAAATAGATAATATTTCAATATTAAATGTACAAAACAAACTTAAATTATTGATTTGTTGATTTTTGCTGTTGAAAGGGAAGCTTGTTTGCAGTGTGAAAACTAATACCACTGCTGCATGACATGTTCCAAATATGTTGTTAACCTCTTTCAGGATATGATTACCTTGAAACATGCATTTGGATTTTGTTGTGATTACACAGTGGTTTTATTAAGAAATTTAATTTAAACACGTGCACGGTGGCAAAGTTGGTAGAGCTGCTGCCTCTCAGGTAGTAGGTCGCCTGTTCAAATCCCGGCTCGGGGCCTTTCTGGGTGGAGTTTGCATGTTCTCTCCGTGCATGCGTGGGTTTTCTCCGGGTACTCCGGTTTCCTCCCACAGACCAAAAACATGCATGTTAGGCTGATTGGTAACTTTAAATTGTCTCTAGGTGAGAGTGAAAGAGTGAATGGTTGTTTGTATCATTTGTCTCTATGTGTCCCTGTGATGGACTGCAGACCTGTCCAGGGTGTACCCTGCCTCTTACACAGTGACTGCTGCATATGGGCACCAGTGACCCATGTGGCATTCAACCTTTATTTAGACAGGTTAATCCCATTGAGCCTCGAGGACTCATTTACAAGAGAGACCTGAAAATGAAAAGTCAAACGTGGGTAAAGATAATAAATGGATGGAAGGGAGGGGAGTCTGAGATTGTCATCATTGTATGTTCCCATACGATGGCAAAATTGGTTCTCTGCATTTAACCCATCGCACCTGAGATACACCCAAGTGGAGCAGTCGGCAGCTATGTAGGGCTTAGATGTCTTGCTCAAAGACACCAGGACATGTGGGAATGACTGGGGATCGAACCTGAGACTTTCTGGTCCCATGTCGGCTGCCCTACATCTACCCCATCTCGGCCTCGGGTGGATGGATGGATGAATTTTTGATCAGATCTATCTGTTTAATCTGACACTGCTCAAATAAATGTAGGGGGACAAATCAAGTGACAATTTTAACTTTGTCACTTGACAACCACGGCCTTAGACGGAAAATGGTGAAGGGCTTCCTCTATAAAGGGGTTGAGTTTTGCTTTAAGCTGAGGTCCTAAAGAGATCTTGTGCTTGAATGATAGAAGGATGGAGCAGAAAAAATACTTAGAGCTTTGTCTGCTTTAATGCAATAATGAGGGTGTTGCTCCAGTCTGTTATGGTAAAGTAGGAGTTGAACAAAAAGGCAAAACTCTTAATCTACTAGTCTATCTATGTATCATGACTGAAATAAGGTCCCAGTTACAATCCTCTGAAAAAAGCTTACTCTGTAGGCTCAGCTTTCGAGGTACAGTGAGGAGCTCCATCATCTGTGGGGAGCTGTTGATCCTTTGCATCACAAGGAGTCGGCTGAGTTGGTTTACGTATCTGAATGAGATTTCTCCTGGATCACCTCCCTCTGGAGGTTTATAGGGATTTCTCACTGAGAAGAGACTGTTCTGGGTACCAAGTGGCAGATCTATGTTTTGTGGAAGGACTTTAAATCCTTTAGGCCTGGCAATGCATTAGGAACCCCCAGGAAGAACAGGAGGATGTTAAGAAGAGCCGTGCCTAGGTTTTCTTCGGGATGAATAGATTAATGGATGGATGGATGGATGGATGGATGGATGGATGGATGGATGGATGGAAGATCTGTTGGCTGTTTAGCTTTATAGTCATTCTACAACAATCACTTTAGCCATAACAACTAAAATAATCAAGTTCTGATTGTACAACAGAACATTGTGCCTAAAACTATACTGCAAAACACCACAGGAGATTTCTATTGAATGACAAATGGTCTAATAAATGAAGTTTTAAAATGAATTAGAAAACACGCAGAGCTGGTTCAAACTGACTGTGGATTAGTAATGTCTGCTGAGCATAGACTGACCCATGAGATCATGCCTGAGTCGGGGTTAAGTGTCAATGTGAGCCATCTCTGTGTCTGTGTACATTACAGGCCCTGTCATTTCAAAAGATGGCAGTGGCAAATTGCAGCAATGATTTATGTTAATCCATGTCATGTTACAGTGACTTGTTGACAGCGTGCACGTTCTGATCTCCTGCTCACCATAGAAATTAGCACTAATAGCCAATTAAATCAAACTTCGATGGAGCAGATGAGTGCACAAGTGAGCGGTGAGCATTGTTAGCATGACATTATGAAAATTTGGTACAAAGTGTGAGCTAGTGAAGGGAAAACTCATTAGTTCCTGATGTTCCAGCTGTCTTCATGTCATTTTAGAAAAGCACTTAATTCCAAGTTGGTATGAAACTTGATAATTTTATCATATGAAAAAAAGCACAGACATTTTCTAGTTGATCTGCGGGTGGATGCTTTTCCTTATTTTAGTTTACCGTACTCTGATTTAAAGAGGGAAAGGTTGTGAACGCCCTTACTGTAATTAGTATTTTGTGGAAAAACTAGGATGTTTTAAAGTACAAGCATTTTCCAACAGTGTGCCTTTGAAGTAAAGTAAGTTTCTGACTCAAATCTTTAAATCTGTTCTGTAAAGAGATGGCAGTATTAGCTAAAATGCACTTTTTACACTTGGAAGTTCAAATGACTTTTCATTTGCTATCAAACTGTGTCTGAATCTGCCTACAGAGCAGCTTATGTCAGAAAGTCACAGGATTTGTTTACATGTTCCTGTTGTTAGTATTTTACATTACTTTATACTACTTTACTGGACTTGGAGAAGGCGTTCGACCGCGTCCCTCGGGGGACCCTGTGGGGGACCCTGTGGGGGACCCTGTGGGGGGTACTCTGGGAGCATGGGGTACCGGGCCCTTTGATACGGGCTGTTAGGTCCCTGTATGACCGGTGTCAGAGCCTGGTCCGCATCGCTGGCAGTAAGTCGGGCTTGTTCCCGGTGAGAGTTGGACTCCGCCAAGGTTGCCCTTTGTCACCGATTCTGTCCACAACTTTTATGGACAGAATTTCTAGACCAGCCAAGGTGTTGAAGGGATCCGTTTTGGTGGCCTTAGGATTGCGTCTCTGCTTTTTGCAGATGATGTGGTCTTATTGGCTTCATCAGATCATGATCTACAGCTTTCGCTGGAGCAGTTCGCAGCCGAATGCGATGCGGCTGGGATGAAGATCAGTTCCTCCAAATCCGAGGCCATGGTCTCAAGCTGAAAAAGGGTAGAGTGCCCTCTCCGGGTCAGGGAGGAGGTCCTACCCCAAGTGGAGGAGTTCAAGTATCTTGGGGTCTTGTTCACGAATGAGGGAAAAATGGAGCGTGAGATCGATAGGCGGATACGTGCAGCGTCTGCAGTGAAGCAGGCGCTGTACAGGTCTGTCGTGGTGAAGAGAGAGCTGAGTGAAAAGGCGAAGCTCTCAATTTACAGATAGATCTACGTTCCTACCCTCATCTATGGTCACGAGCTTGGGGTTGTGACTCAAAGAATGAGATCTCGGATACAAGCGGCTGAAATGAGTTTTCTCCACAGGGTGTCTGGGCTCTCCCTTAGAGACGGTGAGAAGCTCGATCATCCAGGAGGGACTCAGAGTAGAGCCGCTGCTTCTCCATGTCGAGAGGAGCCAGTTGAGGTGGCTTGGGCATCTGTTTAGGATGCCTTCTGGATGCCTCCCTGGTGAGGTGTTCTGGACACGTCCCACAGGAAGGAGGCCCAGAGGAAGACCCAGGACACGCTGGAGGGACTATGTTTCTCGGCTGGCCTGGGAACGCTTCGGGATTCCCCCGGAAGAGCTGGCCCAAGTGGCTGGGGAGAGGGAAGTCTGGCCCTCCCTACTTAGGCTGCTACCCCCGCGACCCGATCCCGGATAAGCGGAAGAAAATGGATGGATGGATGGATGGATGGATTACTTTATAATGTAGCTGTTTTTGTTTTGTTTTTATATCATTTCTTCTATTTAATTTTCATCTCATATGCTTTTTATAGGATTGTCTGTTGTTGTGTGTACCTCATCTGTGTTCTTTGTTTAAAACAGCTCTCTCTTGTAAATTAATCCACGAGGCTCATTAACATGTTTAAATAAAGGTTGAATGAAAAAAGACTTGATGGTTTACAGCAAACCTCTTTTGTTATTTAATGTGACACTGTGGGATTCCTATTAAAACTAGTAAATATTGCACAAATCAGGAAAATAGTCTCATGTGTGACAATAGATTGAGCAAATCATCAGGGAAACAAATACAATTTTCCATTCCACTGAAAAAACAAGAAAAGACCCATGAAGGAGAGTCCAAATGCTGCTACCTATTGAATCCATTCTTTCAACCGTTATCTTTGCCCACTTTTTCCTTTTTGGGTCGTGGGGGTCACTGGTGCCCATATCCATCTATCACTGTGCGAGAGGTGAGGGACACCCTGGTCTCCAGTCCATCACAGGGACATAGAGACAAACGAGACAAACAACCATTCACTGTCTCACTCACACCTAGGGACAATTTAGAGTTACCAGTCAATCTAATGTGCATGTTTTTGATCTGTGGGAGGAAACTGGAGTACCTGGAGAAAACCCACGTATGCACAGAGAGAACATGCAAACTCCACCCAGAAAGGACGCCATTCGGGATTGAACCAGGGTGACCTGCTCGCTGAGAGGTGGCAGCTCTACAAATTGTGCCACCGTGCTGCCCTACCTATTGAAGGGTTTAGTTAAATTACATGGCTTTTAATGGTCTGCCATTGTCCTGATGTTGCTATATCAAGGTGATAAATCTTGAATTTCTAGTGGAAATATAAACAGTAACAAAGTTTCTGGATGGGATCTTAGCCACCTGCTCCCTGACTATCAGGCTCCTGGTTTCTCCTGTGTAGGGTGTGCACTCTTGTTGCCTGGGTAATGTGTGTCTGTTATTTCCACATTCAACAGCAAATTTGACAGATTTGCAGATCACCCCACTGCCTGAATGAAATTTTAGTCTGAGCCCCCTGAATGTGTCTCTGCATGCACTGAGTGCCCCTATCCAAAAATGTGAGGTCGATGTGTCTTGCTCTGAGGTAGCAATAGTGTTTGAAAAGGAGTCAAGTGTGAAGATTAGGTGCGAGGTCTACTGGGCTGGTGACTCACAGTCCAGGCTTAAAACTTGAATTCAGCTTCTTGTGCTGCCCGATGGTCTCAATGCAATGTTCAATGCACTCATTGTTCAATACATGTAGCTCTATGCAATGCAGATTGCTATCCACAATGGCAGAATAAACAGTCTTGAAGACGTCGTTGCACAGGCTCCATAATGTGATTTAGTGTAGTAAGAAGGCTTTATGAGGACCTTAGAGTATGAACCAGTTCACCTAAGTTCAAATTTCCTCCTGAGAGATGCTCACACATGGAGGGCAGTTGTAAAGTAATGCATGTGTGTGTCTCATAATCTGAGAAAGGTCATCGTCAGCTTGCTTGTCCTTCATGCTTCCTGCTTAAGGACTGTACGAGGGGAAGTGACACTCAGAATGTTGATGACATACATACTATACCACAGAGGGAGAGGGATACTGCATCCACTGACAAAGCTGCTCATGCCTTTTACCAGAGCAAAACTATCCAATGGGCCACCGACAGTCATCTCTGAATATGGGAGACATTTTCTTTTAATGCTGCTTTTATTTTATTGTGATGTGCAGGAATCAATGTATTAATAACCATTTAGCATCAAAATGACCATACACATCTAGACTTTTACATGCAGTTACATGCAGGTACAACCACTAAATTAAATGGCTTGTCCGCCAGAAGCGCCATAGGTATCGTACGTGCTATGACGTACCAAAGACACAACACTACAGACCATTACAATATTACAGAAGACAGTTGATTATCCTACAGGATTGGATTTACTGATAATATATCTTTTTTCACATCGAAGGAAGTCAGTTAAGGTGGTTCAGGCATCTGATTAGAATGCCTCAAGGACGCCTCCCTTTGGATGTTTTCTGGGAATGTCCCACTGGGAAGAGGCCTCAGGGCAGACCCAAAACTCATTTGTGGGATTATATATCTTCTCTGGCCTGGGAACGCCCTGGGGTGCCCCAGGATGATCTGGAGAGTGTTGCTGGGGAGAGGGATGTCTGGGTCTCTCTCCTGGACCTGTTGCCTCCACGACCCGACTACAGATAAGCGGTAGAAGATGGACATGAAGATGGAGAATCTTTTAGGTCGGTTTATGTGGAGCAGATCATATTAAAACAAATAAATAAAATAAAACAACATCTGAAAACAGCTCACAGTCAATATTAAGCCTTTTGTTTGTTTCTTGTTGCTATGGGGCTTCTACAGTCTATATATTGATTTTTAAAACTTTTCTAATTAGATTTCTTTTTAGCATCAAGCCCTGGAAGCAATGCTGCAGTTTTCATTTTGTGAAACTACAAGTGTAGCAAACTTATTAAAATGTGCATTTTGCATATTTAGTTGAAACTCTTTTTACCTTTTTTTTCTAATGAACTAAATTTAATACATAATTTAAAGTTAATTAACTTTTTTATTAAATGTCTTGAAAGCATTGAAAGAATGCATGTGGCCTAATGCTTTTCATGCCAGAGTTATACCATATTATTCGCCGTACATGTCGCTCTTCCCTATAAGTCACATCAGTCCAAATATGTCTAATAAAGTGGAAAAAAACATAAATACATTGCCTCGCTGTATACGTTGCATCTGTTACGCATCACCGCTGACACGTCGCGTTTGTTATGCGTCACCGTTGGCAACCCGAAAATGTGGGTCAAACCCAGAAATGCGGGCCAGTGTTGTGCCAAAAATCGATTGGCTGCCAAATGGCGACCGTGGGAGCGTGCACGGGAGGACTTTAACAAGAATTTAACAAGATTAACACGTAAAAACAATTATTTGTTTACTCAAAATTATAGCACAGGTGTGTCTCAGTTAAACGTTTCCTTAATAAATGCACTTTGACAGTCAAACCAGCTGCATTTTAAAAGCCGATACGAGGAAACATGAACGCGCAGAGGGACAATCCACTGTGCATTTCATTGAAATTTGACAAGATAACCACCTAAAAACAATTTTTTGTTAGCTCGACTTTATAGTAAAGGTGTGTCTCAGTTGAACTTTTACTTAATAAATGCACTTCAATGGTTAAATCAGCTGCATTTTGCCAGGGCGGCGCAGCGAAATGCAGCTGATTTGACGGTTGCTCCATGCAGACGACAGTGGCAGGGTATGGCAAGCCAATTGTGTCATTAATAGCCACTTTTACCTATTACATGATTCAACGCAATGCCATACTGCTCGACTGCCATCTAGCATCTGAAAATGGTAGTGTTCAATATTTTCAGTCAGAATAAATGAAAACTGTCAAATCTCAGCCAAAAATTGGTTTATAAATACGGGGGGAAAAAATCCATAAATACGTCGCATCGGCGTATAAGTTGCAGGGCATGCAAATTATGCAAAAAACTGGGACTTATTGGGTGAAAAATACGGGAAACCAAAATGATCCTGCGATGAGAAATGATGGCTATTGTAGTCAAACGTGAAAAGTATTATTGATCTTGTAATTTGGAAAAATCTCATACTTTGAGTTTATATTGTTACTGACTCTCAGTTATTACCACAACGAACTTAACCTATCTGAAAAACAAATAATGTATTGCCATATCAGTATTATTTAATAACGATTAGCTGCGGTGGCCATCTTGAATTGGATTGACTCCAAAAGTTAATCAGTTGTAGATTTACTCCTGAAAATGTATTAAATCATTGGTGAGATATTTCGCTAACAGACTAAAAGGATCAGTGCTAAAATTTTAGGCAAATATCTTGCACAATATTTAGTGCTTGGAGTATGTTTTAGGAATTACTTTCAGCTGGTATCACACCACCACATGTCTGTAGATTAAACTGCATTATAGCTGTGTTATTAAGATAATTTGGCTGAGGCAGACATCTTGAATTTGACAGACTCTAAAAGCTTAGTTGTACTGTAGATGTACATGCAGTGTTCTGTTCTAAAAGTTTTAATGTAATCAGTCAAGTGGCACATTAAATATTTTGCTTACAGAAAGACAAAGTTGACTCTGGTAGTTTTAATCATTCTTATTCTATTCTCATTTGAAATTTGTTGTAGGACGACCCTCAGTGACTGCCACACCGAACTTTAGCTCATCTCTACAATTTTCTCAGTTATAGCCATTTTTGTGTGTGCTAGGATGATTTAGCCGTGGTGGCCATCTTGAATTGGGGTAATTTCAAAAGTGAATCATTTGTAGATGTACATTAAATTTTCATTCAAATCTGAGTTCATGAAATATTTTGTTAACATATTGACACAAACAGGCAGAAACATTTTCAACCACCTTTTACTTTTTGGTAGCAGCTGATGTCAGTAGATGCTGAGAATTTGATGTTTTTTTATTTTCAATTTAATGGTATTAGATTGTAAATATGTCAAATTTGTGTGAACATTTTTGTAATTGTTAAGTAAAGGGATTTATTGCTGTTAATCTATTGCTTAGAGTATTTTATGAAAACATAACTAATAAAAATACATTGATTTACCTAAAATACTAACTTTGTGTAAGAACAAAGTCTGAATTTAGACTAAATTCACAAGTTTAAAAGAAGGCGCTTTGCCATTTTTTTTTGTTCTTAGACATGTGTTAAAATAAATAAATAAATAAAAAGCTGCAGAAGTGTTAAAGATGGAAACTGCTTACCCTTGCACTCCTGCCCTCAAAGACGCAGAATATCGCCAGTCAGCATTCGGGGCTTTTGGCTATGAGAGAGATAGAGTATGAGGAAGAGGAGAGGTAAGAGAAATATGAAGAGACACACAGAGGAGGGGGAAAGGGAAAGAAAACGAGTTTATTTGATCTCATACTGTGCTTATAGCCAGGCTAGGCCATGGTCTCATCAATTATTCAGGATGCACATCCCAGTTCAGGACGTGAGAGGAACACTGCAGTTGTGTCACACATTTCAGACTCGCACACACCGACACACACAAACATGCATGCATATTGATATCTGCACACATTCATTCTAAATATAAAGGATAAGTCACTGAAAGCCAAACTGACAGCTTTTCCAATGTCTCCCACTCAATGCCAGTAAAAATCTGAAAGCTGGGGGGAGTTATGCTCTGTTCCCTGGATCCTGCTGTGTTTGATCAGGCTGGTGGGTGGGGGGGGGGGGGGGGGGGGGGGGGGGGGGGTTGATGTGTAACCAGAGTATATCTGGCTGCTCTTAATGAAACTGGTCTGATTGCTTGCAGTTCCCAGTAGACTACTCTTGAAAAAAAAAAAAAAAAAAAAGAAGAAGCTGCTTTTAAAATTCAGCAGGCATCACTACCGTCACCATGGCAACAGCATCCTACATCTCTAACATGCATTATAGGCATATTCTTAATGGTTCTGAAAACATGGAAACATGTTAGTTAAGTTGGTAGACATGGTCAAAGCTGTCAGAACTCTTGATAATTTAGCCATTGCTGATAATATTATATTTAGGGACTTTGAATATTTGCTACAGTTTTCTAAATATGACTACACAGCATGAGATTATTGTGAACATTGTTTTGTTTTTGAGATTTAGTCATAAAAGTAAAAAAAAAAAAAGAGGAGAAACACCTGCTCCCACTTGAAAGCGTCCCACATACAGATAATAAAGAATGTTCAGCTAAATTCAGAGGGGAGTGTTTTCAGCTGCTCCAACCAGTTTTCTGAGTAAATCTAATCTGTGTGGCTGAGGAACAAAGATGGAGGCTAATCTAATTTACACAGCTACACAGTCTTGAGAGGATGATTTATACTTATTATAAATATACAGGACTACTGGCTGTTTTTAACAGTCAAAAAGCTTGATTAAGTGGATAGTATAAATATTCTGAAGTAAGGTTCTGCAACAAACAAACACGCTGATGAGCTTATGAACAATTCTTATCTTCCCTGTTGTAAGTAACTCTTAAAACAACTTAATTTAGGAGATATGGAGTTAATGCCTGGCCACACTGGTGAGCTAACCAGGCAAAACAACTCCGATCTAAAACAAAATTGCTAGTGATTCATACAGTGACTATTGCATAAACCAGTCATCACAATTTCATTTTCACAATCTTCTAGGATATACAAGAGGAAATAGCGGCCAAGCCCACAAAAAAGTAATGCTGATGACTCCACAATTTGCTGAAACTGCAATAAACAAAGTTGAAGGAGCAACTGTCAGCTACAGATGGCTGTAACACTCCCAGCTGGATTATCATGTTATTTCTATGAAGTGGGAAACTGCCAAAAATGTAAAGGTAAAGAAAGTAGCATTCTCAATAAGAATACGTCTTTAGTATAGACCCTAGTCAGACTTTTTAGATTTAAACGCTATTTCTTAAAACTGAGAACATTCAGGTAAGCAGGTGCTTTCTATGAAACCCCAATTCAAAACATCTAATTGGTCCCTTTAATTGTGCTTTCTAGTTATGGGAAACATTGCCATAGCATTATGTTATTCATTAATAATTAAAATAAATATGCCTGACCCATTATAAATATAGCAATTTAATCATAAAATAGAAAAAAAAAAAAGAAAAGAAGCAGCCCAACATAGTTCTGCATCACTAATAGGCATAAAAATGACTGCACAATGCAAACATGTTAACTACATCACAGCAATTTATGGATATCTTTAGAAGAAAACAACTTGATCATCAGTGAAAATGTAGCAAGGGGAAAAAAACTGGTTGTTTTACACTCCTGGCATTCATAAAACATAGAAATAAAATGCACCACGCCAATCTTTGTGTGAAGCAACACTTAAGGTCACATGCACATAATACATGTTTGTTAAGAATACCTAGTGAAACGCACAAGATGCAAAATCAGACTTGCTTCTTGGAACTGCCAAATTTAACTCACTTAAAGGTTCTCGAGCACAGAGCTGTTTAATCCTTTAGCAGAGACAAAACATGATTTTTTAAAAACATTTTAATTATTATAATGTTGTGGTGCAGAGGTGATGACAACCTCAAACCAAAACACGAATCTCTGAATCATCAGAAGAAACGCAGGTCTCTTGAAAAGCTTCAGGACTGACACTAATTCAGTCCAAGTGCTGAGTTTGGCAGGGCTGCGTGACAGCACAAGTGAAGAGAGTAAATGCTGCAAAGATTCCCTTCAAACAAAGAAATAGATCAAACTTGACTCACTGACATATCTCATCCCTGCAGTGAAAACTCTACAGGCCAGAATGTGGATTCATTAAAGAGCAGCAACACCCAAAACACAGAGAAAAGCTTAATGTGAATGTGCATTATTGTTTGCAAGTACATGGAGACTCAATGCAAAGCTTGATATAAAACATATATGATTTATGGTCTTTCAGTTATGCAGGTAAAAGTAATCATAAAAATTAAATGACACACCTCTGGGCAGATTTGGAGTGAGGCATCGGGCATGCTCAGTCTGCGCACAAATCCACTTCCACTGGTGAAGAAGCGGTCAGCACCGCTACCCCAGGTGCCGCTGATGGGCCGCCCTGTGTTGTAGAACATGAAGGTATCACTGCCAGAGGTGGCGGTCAGGCAGGTTTTGTAGCAGTATGTCTTTGTTAAGGAGCCGTTCCCACGCACTTCAATATAGTGAGGTTCCACTTTGAGGTCTCTCCGAAGCACCACATTGTTATTAGGCTGTCCTGCGGCCCCTCCGCCACCTCCCCCGCCAGCATTCACACTGCTGCTCCCACCATCTGGAGGGGGTTTCTGAGACCCGCAGCATGAGCCGGGCTGGGAGCAGTAGGCATGGCAACGAACGATGGCCAGCACCACCACAGTGACCAGGAAGACAAATGTTGTAGCGCTCAAGGCCACAATCAAATATAGGGTGACGTTGGAGAAAAACAGTGTGTTGTGGGGCCGCGAGACCTTCTTGGTATCAGGAGCCACTTTGGGTGGCACTTCCATGACGGCCACATTGATGGTGGCAGTGGAGGTTAGGGCTGGCTGGCCATGATCCTTCACAACAACAGTTAGAGCAAAAGAGGTGGAATTGTCCTCCAGGATCCTACGCGTGGTCCGGATCTCTCCGGTGTGCTCGTGCACTTTAAACAAATCTAAGTCTGTGGCAGTCTCCAGCATGTAAACCATCCAGGCGTTTGGACCCGCATCAGCATCATATGCCACCACTTTGGTCACCAAGGCACCAGGGTCAGCGTTCTTTTGGACTGTCTCCAATGAGCGGGTTCCATTGCCAGCAGGGCTTACTATCAGCGGAGCGTGGTCATTCTGATCCATGATGTAGATGTAAACTGTGGCGACTCGGCTGAGTGGAGGAATGCCCCCATCCTGGGCTTTGACCTGGAAATGAAACTCTCTCAGTGACTCATAGTCAAAGGCTCGCAGGGCGTAAGCCTCGCCTGTATCAGCCTTCACAGACACATACGAGGTGACAGGAATGCCATGGTTGTTGTCATTGAGCACTGTGTAGGTGATGCGAGCATTCTCTTTAATGTCTGCATCTTGAGCTTTCACAGTACACAAAGAGGCCCCGGGGGCATTGTTTTCAGCCACATAAACTGTATATGAGGTCTGCTCAAAACGTGGCGGGTTGTCATTAACGTCAGCCACGTCCACCTGTATGGTCTTTTGGGAAGATAAGGGAGGGTTTCCTCCATCTGTGGCACTCAGAGTGACATTGTAGGCATCAGTGGTCTCACGGTCCAGGAAGGCTGAGGTAACCAGGGTGTAGTAATTTCTAAATGACTTGATCTTGAACGGAAGGCCTGCTGGGATCTCTAGGCTCACCTGCTTGTTGGTGCCGGCATCTTGATCTGTGACACTAATGAGGGCTACAACTGTGTCTGCACGAGCGTCCTCCCTCACTGGGCTCGACAAGGATGACAGCACAATCTGAGGGACGTTGTCATTCACATCCACAACCTCCACCACCACTTTGCAATGAGCTGCCACAGCTCCAGGGCCCTTATCCATAGCCTGAATGTACATCTCATAGGAGTTGGTCTCTTCATAGTCAACGTTGTTTCTCACTCGTATCTCTCCAGTATTAGTGTCCATGCTAAACATCTGTCTGACCCTCTCTGGAGTGTAGCTGCTGAAAGAATAATAAACCTCTGCATTTGTGCCCTCATCCAGGTCTGTAGCATTCAGTTTAATCACTAGGGTGTCTTTGGGAGAGTTTTCCAACAGCTTCACCTTGTATACTGAGCTGTCAAACAGAGGGACATTGTCATTGGAGTCCAGCACCCGGATGTTAATCTTGGCCGTGCCTGTTTTCTCTGGTATCCCACCATCCACAGCACTTAGAATTAACTGGTGGTAAGGCGTCTGCTCGCGATCCAGGGGCTTTTTGAGCACCAGCTCGATGTGCTTTGTGTTTAGGGAGGGTTTGTTGGAGACGAGCGCAAAATTCTCGTTTGTGCTAAGCTGATACATGCGGACAGAGTTGGACCCGACGTCAGGGTCTTGAGCGTGTTCAATGGGGTAACGGGACCCCGGCAGGGCGGATTCTATGATTTCCAGTTGGTACTCATCTCTAGGGAACTGCGGCCCATTGTCATTGGCGTCCACAATCTCTACCTCGACATGGTGCAACTCTGTGGGGTTTTCCACGAGCACCTCCAGGTTAATAAGGCATGTGATGGAGAGATCACACAGCGCCTCCCTGTCGATCCTGTCGTTCACGAGCAGTTTCCCATTTTTGGGGTTGACAATCACATAGCGCTTGCCGCTGCTGGAGGAGGTTATCTTGATTCTTCGACTGGCGAGCTTACGAATATCCAGCCCCAGGTCGTGCGCCAGATCTCCGACCAGTGCCCCATTTTCCAGCTCCTCTGTAATGGAATATCGCAACTGTCCACACGCAAGGCCACAAAATAAGGAAAACAGCACAAAATAAAAAGGCACATTAATACTTCTCCCAGTCCGGTTGCATATCATCCCCGTCACAGCCATGGCAAGCTCACAGGAGGATCTGCAGACGGATTAAACGCAGCCTTCCTTCCGCCTTTTTCAGCTTGCAGTATCTCGCATCCCAGCACCTCATCAAGGTGGGCTAATTGGTCTCCCGGTGGATGAAGGAGGAGCAGCTCATCCATAGCGTCACCCGGCTGGAGTCAATCCTCTCCAGAGCACCCATGTTTTTCTTTGTCCGTGATGCGCCTTTTTTCCCCCTCTTCTCCTGTCTCTGCGCGCGGTGCTGACGGGTGTGTTTCCTCTGCCGCTCGAGCTGTTAGAATGTCAAGTTAGAGAGAAAACACACGCACAAAACCGGAAACTAAGAACACATTTTTCAAAATAAAGTGTAGACTTTGTCATTTTGAGACTAAATGTAAATTGAATCAGTAAAATGCAAACATGGGGATGCAGGAATTAATTCAACAACCCACTGAATGAGGGTTGCTGCTTTTCCACTGAGGCTATAACAATAATTTCATTAAAAAAACTGCCTCCTAAGTCAATATTTTCATAGTTATCTCATTAAGTAGAAGGTACGGGCATGCAACTTTATTTTGAAAACTAAACCGGATGCTGTTATCTGAAAATAGTCTCCTTGATGGTGCATCCCACCCTGACGCGCGCTCAGACTGGCTCTCTTTATATTTCTCCGCGATGGCGCAACACAAGTCCTCCCCCCACCCCTGCTCCACTCCACACCCATCTCTCTCCTCAGAAAGATGTTTTGAGAGCAACAACACCCCAAGACAAATAAACAAAACAACAACAACTGTATTTGAAAAAATAAAAAAGAGGGGTAAAAAAAAAAGGAATGATCCCCCCCCCCCCCTCCTCCCGCCTGTGCAGCCACCTGGTCATTCCCTGCGCATTATTCAGATGAGCTAAGCAGACCGTGACTAAAATTAAACTCCAAATATTTGTGTAAAACGTGCTGCTCATGTTAAGATGCTTGCTTCAGACGGCTTTAGGTAAAATGGGGGTGGGATGGCTGCAGACACATGTTGTGTCAGGCGTGGGGGGGCTTGTCGTCTCTTCGTCCTTTGTCTTTGCTTGTATCGCAGGGATGGTTATTTTGCCGGTAGCTATTCTGCGGCGCGTGCAGCCGCACCGCATGGCGAGCGTTTGCGGGACGAGGCGCTGCGGACGGACAGCATCCATCGCTGTGACAACCGCAACCTTCCCTCCGCATGGATCACTGTCAGCGGCGGACCTCCGCCTGTCAGGTCACATAAGCGTTTTGAGGCACAGGCTTTGTGAAGCCGCAGCACAAACCCAGTTTGTCTCATACACAGAATCCACAGACCAGTAGACAAAATATGCAGATCCATACTGGAATGCTGCTCCCCCGAAATAAACATAAATGGCATTCCAAGTCCACTCATTTCAATTGATGATGCAGGTTTAGTGTTTCCAGGCGCAACAGCTTCACTTCATCTTCTCCATGTCCTTGTGTGACTTCCTGGGCTTAATTACTCTTATCTCAGAGACAAGGCACCAGCTATAAATGGTTTAGAGGTGGTCTTTGTTGTTTCTGAGGTTGTGAGTAACATCCTGCAAATTCCCGGCTGTGTACCCCAGAAACCTGGTGAAGTTGATGATGTGCAGGTGCATCTATTTTTATTCTTCTGAACTGATTCGGAGAGGATGGGAGTGGAGGCACAGTCTTGGTCAGGAGCTGCGTTTGGATTATCCACTCATCCATCCATCCATTATCTTAGCTTCTTCCTTTTTGGGTCACAGGGGTCATGGGGGTCACTGGTGCCGATGTCCAGCAATCACTGTGGGAGAGGCGGGGGACACCCTGGACAGGTCTCCAGTCCATCGCAGGGACACATCGAGACTAACAACCATTCACTCTCTCTCTCTCTCTCACCTAGAGACCATTTAGAGTTACCAATCAGTCTAACATGCATGTTTTTGGTCTGTGGGAGGAAACTGGAGTACCCGGAGAAAACCCAAGCATACACGGAGAGAACATGCAAAAGAAAGGCCCCCGACTGGGATTTGAACCAGCGACCTTCTCACTGAGAGGCAATAGCTCTACCAACTGAACCGCTGGTTAAAAAAAATATATATGAACGAAAAGCCAAGGAAGTCTAAACGGGATTACACTATTTATTTACTGCTGTTTTGACTTTTAACTATATCTTTGGGGACTAAAACAATTTATATATATTTTTAGACACGGCGTATTGAAATGAGAATAAACTGCTGAGACAATCGTAATTTATCAATATTTGAATCGAAGTCAGCAGCTGCAGAAACAAAACAGGAGGAGGAATGATAATGAGAGACATTTTCTAATTTAATCCCCTTCAAACCTCCTGCACATGCTGGGAGCAGTCCAAGGTGATGAACCACTGACCCATGTGGGCCTTTTTGTGTTCAAACGTGCACTAATCTTTAACAATCCTCCCCATCTTTGTATAAATAACATATTTTTACTCAGTAGTACAGAAGCAACAAGCTGCACAGACAAAAATCAGATCTTATAATCGAGTTGCCACATGGTGTTTACAAGGAAATGCGGGAATGAAAAGTGGGAGGTGCTGCTAACTGCTATAATGGCAACTGGGAGGGAGCTGAGGAGAAACTATGGAACAATCATAGCCCCAAAAATGTCAAATCACACACAGAAAATACAAATACAAATGACAGATTACACATTAAAAAGACTCTGGTTGCAATAAAAGTTCTAGGAAAACATACTGAAAAAAAGAATCTACAGAAACTCAGATCAGGAAAAGTAAAGCAACACAAAGTCCACATTCCCTAAAACCATGATCCATAAATCCAAACTGGGATTGAATCCAGGACCGTCTTGATGTGGGGCAACAGTGTTAACCACTAATCCACCGTGGTGTCATTATTCTTACATTATAACAGTTCTTCATCCAGTGTGACAGGAAATGCACTGTCCACACTGGGTCATGTCAGGCTGTGACCATGCCATCAGCACTGTGGTGACGTGAAATCCTTGATCCTGGCCTGGTCCGAGATGGTCATGAGCCTTAGGTGTGATCATTGGCCCATGCGATAAGACCTTTGTGGGGTTGTACCACTGATATCTAGAACATGGTGAGGTTACAGGAAGGTGTCTCGGGGAAGCGGAAAATAGCAAACAAACAAACAAACAAACAAACAAACAAACAAAAAGAACAGTTTGACAAGCACTAAAAGTAGAGCAGCACATAATTGTTCAATTTGCCACAATCTAGCCACATCCTAATGAGTTGTCAGAGCAGAGGTTGAAATTAAAGTGATGGGGACTCAATACTGAGTATTTACCGTTACACAAATCTGCTAAAACTTTGGAAAGCCATGGATTTAACACACAATTTAACAAAATGTGCTTCTGCTTTATAAAGTGACTACACATTATGTTTTGTCTGAGGTTGACGATGAGAACAACGTGCAACAGACTTAAGGAGTTAAATGTGCATATAAATACATGTTTTTAATCAATACAAGTTTAAAATCAGCAAATGGGACTAAATCAAAATGGCCATGATAGTAGCAATGACTCTTTTGTGCATATTTTGATTTTTAAGCCTCCTTGTGTCAAAATAAATCAGAGTTACCGCTGAAAGCTTTTAGTTGAAGTGACAGGGGCTGTTATGAAGCACAAAACCAGGAGTCAGTGGGAATGTTTTACTGGGAGAGGGAAAATGTTATTTTAGCGGGAGGCAGAGGTTTGGGGAAATCCGTCCAAGTCATTGAATCGAAGTCGGTCACAACATCTGGCAGGGCAAGACAGCCTAAAGCCAAACACGTCACTGAATGAGCGCGTTTCATGACAGGCAGCATGACCCCCTTTATGAGCAAGCTGTCTGGATCAATATAAGTTATATTAATATTCAGAAGTAATATTTTGTCCCCCAACAAAACAATCTTAGTGTAAATATGTTAATGTCAAATGCTGTAACTCCTTAGAGGGAGAGTAAAACACATGGAGTAAATTCAAATCTTCTTCTTAGCATAGATTAAAATTAAATTCTCAGCATTCCTTAAAACGATACATTTTGCCCAACACCTTTTATGCCAAGTTTTAAATGAACATCACAATATGTAGACAATTAACAGTAAAACAGCCTTGCTGATCCAGTTTAAATAATGTTATGCTCAAGTGTCACACAATAATGTGAAATCTCAGTCAGTGCTCAAAGCATGTGTTAGGAATTATTCTCAGCCACTACCACATGAAACTTTAGCTCAACATCTGTAAAGCTGACTAAGATATATCTATTCTGTGTTTGCAAGGGACAATAAAATGTAGTGGCCATCTTCGATAAGGCTGCCTCCAAATGTTAATCAGCTGCAGATGTTCATTAAATTGTTACTTCCTGAGAGTTTCATTAAAGTCCTGCTATCAGTTCATGAGATATTTTGCTAACAGACAAACTGGGTTGACTCCAAACTGGAATGACAAAGTTTCAAGCAAAAGTCTCCCACAATATATCACTTGAAGATGATCTTGTTAATGACTCTCTGTTACAACCACACCCAGTCTTAGCTCAAAGTCTGAAACAATTGACTGGGCTCTAGACATTTTTAGTATTTGTTAAGTTCAGTCGGCTGTAGCCACCATTATCATTTCATGTAGAGATATCACCAGTTCAGCCTTTTTCCTTTGACAGCAGAGTTTCTTTCTTACAAATGGACTTGGACTGGTTTCAGCCAACGAGGCAACAGAGTGAAGAATGTTTAAATATGGGTCTGACAGTGACCACTTGTACCAGTTTAGTCTGATCTAGCCGTTTGATGTTGCAAAATGAAAGTTTGCCATTGGACTTGTAGATATGTTTGATTTAAAATAATAAAACATCATGAGCGTTAAATCCAGCCACTATCCTGTGATTTACGCATCAGATCTACTGATAAACCAGCATGAACAAACACACACTGGTCTATAAGTTGTGCAATAGACAAAAGGGCTAAAATGCTTTAATCGCCTTCCATTCAAATAAGCTTCTGATTCTTTACCTGTCTGGCTTTAGAAACCATCTTCTTTTTGTTGCATAAGGCTTGTGTCTCCATAGCAACAGCAACATGGAGAACGTAAGAGCTGTGATCAGCATTCTAAACCGGATGTTCTGTCCCCACACAAAGGCATGCTTTATTTATACACCAGTGTGGTGACAGGCCTGTAGGAGTCATGCATGGCACCACCAGTTCCTCCTTTTAACCAAAAATAATTTGAAGTTGCTCTTAAAGGAATAGGTCAATTCATCGGAAATGGGTTTTATTAAAAATTCTAATTGTACCTGTCGATAAAAATGACCTGAGTTTGGAAAAGCAGTCTCATTCT